TTGATTCTTAAAAGTTATGGACGGGCCGGCCCGGTGGCGCACTGCTATAGTGCGCCGCTTGGGAAGTGCAGTGGCGCTCCCGCCGAGGGTTCGGATCCCACATGCAGACCGGCCGCTCACTGGCTGAGCGAGGGGCGGGGGCAGCACCGAGGGTTGCGATCCCGTGGCCGGTCCCGGTCCGGTACGGGCGCGACACTGAGGGTTGCGATCTGTTGCCGGGCACGAAAAAAAGACGAAAAGGAAAAAAAAAAAAAAAAAGTTATGGACACTTTTCCCAGAAAAGTGTACATTCAAACAAAATTTTTATAGATATTTGCAAAGAAGTCACAATTGCCCTGAAACTCACACCCCTATCCTGTATGCATTTGCTGTATGTTACCACTCTCCATTATCTGCCTTTGAGACCATGTCATATAGGAGCAGAGTGGTCATGGGACTTATCTAAAATTATCCCCCAAAAAGTGTTGTGTTTGTGAATTCACCTGACTGGGGGTACCTAATGTGTATCAGATACTCCAAAGGATCTATGTTCCAAAACAGGGTTTTAATGTTGATCTTTGTCAGTTTGTTTATTTGGGGTTTAGAGGAGCTTGAAAAATAGCAAAGGCTGTAGCTTTTCTTCTTTTGAAGTTCATTCTTTACTTTTTATTGTGAGCTAAAATCTGCAGCCAGAGTGTGTTTTGCAAAGCCAAACACACACAGACATTTGAAAAACCTGCATTTGGACTACCCAACCACCTGCACAGCTGCCAGCGGCTACCACAGACTCGCCTTGGGAGCAGCTGTCTGGGGTCTGGGGATCTGGCTCTATACCTGGCACCTTAGTTGCCTCATTAGATGATCTTTACTTTTGTGAAACAGTAAATAGCAACCCTTGTAGTTCTCACCCGAGAATTTGAAAAAGCCTCTGTTCCTAAAAGCACTTAGGGATCTTCTGGGAGAGTTTCTGAGTACTTAAATAGACCTAGTACTGACTTTTTTTTTTTAATTCTTAATTATCTTTGCCAGGGGAGGAAAAAAAAAGAAGACATTAAAAGTTGCTGTTGGTATTGTCATGGAACAGCAGTTAGTAGTTGTAAAATGAATGAACATGTGAGGCACACATTGAAAATTTGACATGCTTTATAATTGCTAAATAATAATAATGATGTCACGAGGCTTTCATTTTTAAACTGTCTTAATTTTATTCTCAGTTTGAGATTGCAGATTACGGTAGTTAATTATAGAAATTTGGCCCAGAGTGAAACCTTAAATCAGATTTCCATTAATGTGCATGACTGCAGCAAATTACTTTACCATGGGAGAAAAAGCAAGAATAGCATAATCTCTGACTGAGTGGGGTCTTCCTCCCAGCCCGGGTGGTGATTTTCCATAGTGCTCTGTGGTGTAGCATGTGTCCTAAGCAATCCCATTTGCCTGAGGTCAGCAGCCTGCTGCCAGCTTGTCTGCTCTCTCATTCTCTCACCCTTTCTCGTGCTCACCCTATATTTCTCACTCTCACGCTCTCTCATGCACTCCCTCTGCTCTCTGTCTCTTTTCTATCACTTTCTCTCCACCTCTCAGAGAGACTCCTTTCAAGACCTGCCTTCACCCAGTTCTGGAAAAGGAAGGACTAGGCAAGAGGAGCCAAGTTCCCTTCCCTGGCCTCTGGCACCTGCCACTCCACCTCACCTGCATCATTTTGGGTGACTTCCCTACTCAGCCACTAGTTTCTCAGTGAATTAAGTTGGGTGACATCTCTGCCTTCATCCTGGCTGCTCCCTCCCATCTCAGATTCAGCTCTTTTCTTCTCTTTGTCTACTGGAACATCACCTCTTTCAAAAAGCCTCTCTGGTCACAGCAGCCTGCCTCACTGTCCCTGCCCTGGTCTTGGCTCTGGGAGGCATCTGCAGATCCTGGATTGTAATGGTCAGTGTACTGGTCTGGCTCTCAAACTAGTCTTTGATATTTTGTTTTTCTCCATATCCCAAGCACTTTAACTATGTGCCTGGTACAAGGGAGATGATTATCAGGTGTCTATTGAAATTAACTTAATTCATTCATTCTTTAAACCATAATTATTAGATGATGATGCCATGTCATGGATTGTATTAGCTGCTGATTATAGAAAGATGAGAAAATACCTAGTTCTTGTTTCAGAGGAGCACAAAGGTGACCCGTACGAGGTGGTGGGAGGAGGAGAATAAACTACGTTGGAGAACATCGGCCCATTTCTCAGGAAGTCTAACAATGCCATTTATTCCTCCACAGTTGGAAAAGAGGGCTTTTCCTTGGACTCAGAGCCCATTGAAGCGATCAGCTTACTTTTAGGTACAAGTTGTTATATGAAGAGTATCTACTTTTAATGTTGGGCTCTCACTAAACACGATGAAATACTGACATATGAAAGACTTATGGAAGCTGACACCAACTCAGGCAATACCAGATTCACAGCTCGTGTTTGACACTCACTCCAGGGCATACACCCACTGAGTAGAATTGGATCACAAAATCACGGGTATCTTCTCTCCTCCACCCCCCCGCCCCGCCTATTTAGATGAATCCACATACATTTGTCATGTATACTGTAACTACGCTACGGAACAGTCGTACGGTTTTAGATAGATTAAACGGATTGATTCACTGTAACTTGGTGAGACAGGAAGGCTTCCCTGAGAATTGACATCTGAACTCATCCTTAAATAATGTACAGGTTGGCCATGGGATAAATGTGCAGGTACTGATGTGTACTTTACTAGATAGCCTAGTTCTTCTACACAAACCTTAGAGAGCCTCAGCAGTTCCTGAGTTTGTCTTGGACCCCATGGAGTCATTATTGCTCTTGTGTGTTTTTTCTTCTTCCATTGTTCTGGCAAGTTCCTCTCCACCCCACAGTTATTTGGAAACTACTGCAGTACCACGCCTCAGTGCTAACAACATTTAATAGCTGTCATTAGAAAGCAAGCTTCTGCTTACCAGTTGGCCCGCTGTGAATGGTAACAGGAGATTTCTTTTTTGGGAGTAGCCCCAAACTCTAATTGGTTTGAAAAATATTGCTCATTTATTTTATTCCTAAGACATTACCTTTTTATTGAACTTCAGTAAGTTTGTGTTCCCATTATATTTGAATTCAGTATAGCTGCAGTCTACTGTAAAAGGTTTACTTACTTGCTGTCTAGGCAACCTGCTCACTTTCATCATTTCTTCCTGAATAAATGCTTATATGAATATCTGTTAAGTACATTTAAAGCCATGTGACAAACCTTTCACATGTACCGCCGTCCCTCCATGTCTGTGGGGAATTGGTTTCAGGACCCCCCACAGATATCAAGATCCGTGGGTGCTCAAGTTTCTGATACCAAATGGTATAGCATTTGCCTATAACCTACACACATTCTCTCATATATTTAAAGTCATCTCTAGATTACTTATAATACCTAATGCAATGTAAATACTATGTAGATCGTTATACTGTAATTTATTTATTTATTTATTCATTTATATTGTTGTTATTTTTTATTTTTATTTTTTCTGAGTATTTTCGATCTGCGATTGGCTGAGCCCACAGATTCACGAGTCATTTAGGCCTTTGAACATTCTCTTGGACTAGGTACTATCATTATTCTCTTCATGAAGAGGAACAAACCATGTGAAGAGAGGTTATGTAACTTGTCCAGGGCCCAGCTCTAGCAACTGGCATGAATGAACAAATCAGTAGGCAATCTAGACAGCTGACTTTGAGCCTCACCACTGCTACAGGTCGTTTGACCGTGCGATGCATCACCTGAATGCTCCCAGTGGCTGTATCAGCCACAGAGGGCCAACCCTCGCTGCACATAATGAATAGGGTTCTGGAAGGGGTCAAAATAAAAAATGAAGATTCATGTAATGGCATTTTCTGTAAACAGTTAAGTGCTGTACAAATTAAGATATTCTTTTCTCATATGTTTTGCATAGTTAATTTAACATATTGAAATAACGGGATTTAAAAATGGCACACAGCACATGCATATAGGCTTTGCAATTAGTGTAGCATAATTTAATCCTGACTGTTTTGTTGGAATTTTGATGCCTCCAGATTGATAAATAGCTATGTTCTGTGGCATTAATCTAAGTAATGAATTCTCTTCATTATCTCGTTCTTCATGTTAATTATACAGGATTTTCTTATACCTATTTATCAAGTCAGGACAAGTAGAAAGTTTTTTTGGCCCACATGCCTTTAATATGGAATATGTACAAACAGGTTAACATGATGGGTTTAAATTTACATTTCTGAAAAATTCCAGTCTGTGGCTTGACTATACATATGTTGTTACTTGTGGTATGAGCTTGTATCTCTTTATTTTGGTGGTCTTTTTTTTAATCAAAAAGTTTGTTCTAAGATAAACTATCTCTGATTTTCAAGAATATATCTCTAGCATATCAAAAAGGTATTAAGGAAGCATGGAAAACTTTGAATTTTTACCTATTAGTACAAAACAATAAATAGTTAAAATCTCTGATTTTCAAGAATATATCTCTAGCATATCAAAAAGGTATTAAGGAAGCATGGAAAAATTTGAATTTTTACCTATTAGTACAAAACAATAAATAGTTAAGTTCCTAGTTTTGAAATATTGCATAAGGTACCATGACAGATAATAGTTTAAGTATAAACCATATAGAGAAAAGATGTAAATGCATGAAATTTTAAGTGTTACTACTCATAAAAAGAATAGATAGCAATATTTAAAAAACCAGAAGATAGTGTATAATAAATGGTCAAATGAATGGTGATTGAATTCATTTTGAGTTTAGAGGAATGATTGATGGGATAATGTTGGTTAATATGGTAATGTTATATAGTGATATTTGTTAATTCATTACTAAATATTAATGTGTTCTGGGCCTTTTCTTAAATATTTTATGATCTGTTAAAAAAAAAGGAGTCTTATTTTAATTGTCTTTATTTAGCCAGCTGTTTTTGAGATTTTTGGCTATCAGCATTTTGATGGGCAACTTCCTATTTTTAATTTCAGGTTGAAGCCATCCTTGTCAATATTTTTGGTGGTATCGTCAACTGTGCCATCATTGCCAATGGGATCACCAAAGCCTGCCGGGAGCTACAACTCAAGGTGCCCCTGGTGGTCCGGCTTGAAGGTGAGTCATGGTAGATTTCTACTGTGCCAGTACCCCTTCTCCAAGGTCAGGTGACCAACACGGTCTGGACTCACAGACTCCCTGAGATATAACACAAGGAAACATTGGATTACATAAGATGAAACAAGCACAGTACAACAGGACTTCTCTAGGCCTCCGACAGGCTAATGTAGATTGCAGCACTCCAAGAATGGCAGGTATTACGATTCTCCAAATTATCCAGACTTATTCCAGAGTGGAAGCCCTTTTATTATGAATCATTTATTTAATGAGATTAGTGTTCTGGGAAAAACACTCTGAGAAATGCTGCTCTAAGAATTATTCATCACAGGAGAGCAACAGTTCTCAAACATTTTGATCTCAGGACCCCTTTACTTGTTAAAATCGAGGACCCCCCCAAAGAACTTTTATTTTGGGTTATGTCCATCAATATTTATTAATTAACTTAATTGATTAATAAATTAATTTGGTAACAGGAATTACTTAGAGTTTTTAAAAATGTTTACTTATT